TGTCCTTCCTGAAGAGCCTGTATCCTTGAAGTCTGACACTCCAGTCACAGGAGCCATACCACCAGGTCTCCACAATGCCAATGAGGTCACAGCCCCTCAGGCGTGTGCACACCTCTAGCTCCTCTTGTTTCCCGTGCTCTGTGTGTTCACATAGAGGCATTTAAAATGGGCCCCCAATGAAGCTGAATAGGTGCCGGGGCTGGATTTATCCCTGGGCATTGTAGCTGAGCATCCTATCTCTGTTGAAAATAATGAAGTAATTCCAGTCTCAACTGAGACTCAAGGGTCTCGAAGTCATTTGGTCCTTTTTTTACAGGAAGCTTTTCTACAGAGTGGGTTTTGTTCATACAAACTGTATAAACACTCTCCCTCATCTGCACTGTGGCTAGTCACTCCTGGCTCGAAAGGCTGCTTCTGACTTTCTAAAGTCTTGGGTAGTGTCAAAGAATTACATTAAGGAAAGACTAGAACAGAACAAAGTGTCTTAAACTCTTGTAAATGTGGATTGTAATTTCTGGAATTGCACTGGTCAGAACTACAGGGTAAGTGGTTCTCATTCCTCCACCATTAAGAGGTATGAGGGTATGCCGAGTTGCTGACAAAGTCGCCTTTTGTCAGTTAAACTACACTCACGGATCATGGGTATGCTTCCGTACATATGTGAAGGTGTTAGCATAAATCACCATCCTCAATTCACACATCTCAGTTTACAGCGTTTAATTTAGTGTTTTTTGATGTCCGTCCCAAAGCCTGAGATAAGTTTTCCTACCCAAATCGTTAGCTGCGGCTGGTGTGGTGAAAGTCCATCCCAACTTTCTATACGCACAAAAGACGTCAAAGCAGCTTTCATGTACCATAGGTGGAAACTGTTGCCATAAGATTCAGTAATTCATAGTGTATTAGAAATAGTGTTGACAGGAGGATACGAATGTGGAAAGCCTTTTTTTTTAATTCCAGCTGAGATAATTTTTCAATGTTCACATCATAAAATCACAACATAATGACTTATCAAAACTTATTCCATGATACTTCAGAGATTTCAAGAATGCTTCTGTTGTTTCTCCCATCCTCCCAAGATTTGCAGTTGGACTCATATTACTACAGTGTGGCAGCTTGCAGATGGATATGAGAAACAGAACCAATAAAAATAGTAAAAACACTCTTAAGCATGTGCACAATAGACATTGGTGTAGAGTTATGCTGAAATTTGTTTGAAACGAGCGAAGCAGTCCTGGGCTAACACTCAGACCCATGCCAATAGGACTTCTTAATCACATCACAACATCATTTGTTCTCTCTGTATTATCTACGAATAGAGATAAAAGTTTGGATTCGAGTACAATTCTGCATCTGGGAAAGCAAGTCGAGTAAGACTGTTTCTGTGTTTATGAAATATGTTTCCATTTGGCTGACTTTGGTTAGAATGAGGGACCAAAAGAAGACTCACTCTTTGGTTTCTTTAACAAAATAGTATGCTGGCCTATAGGAGAAGTTACTGTGGTTTAGAACTGTGATTGATGGCCACCTGCCCTCTTAATACCTTGATGCCATCGGTGACATATGACAGCAAATAAACATTAAATGTTCTATATGTGGCTTTGTGAATACAGGCAGTATCAAGGGACAGTTTGGAGAGAGTCTTCTCTTGATAGGATCTTCCTCAAAAGTCATTGTTCAACTAACCACTAATCCCAAAGTCTAAGACCATTTGGGAGTCAAATTGAGCTTCAATATGTGCAATTCTGGTAGGAAAACAAAGCATGTGTTCTGTGGCCATAGCAGCAATTAAATAAAACATTAATTATAGACCCAAAAATTCTTACTGTATCAAAGTACTGAACATTGAGTTTAAAAATTCTAATTTAAACTAATAGAAATTAAAAATGTATTTTAAAAATATTCTTAGGTCCCTTTTTATTAATGTGGGTATTTCCTGTATCTTTAATAGCTGAATATCTAAGGATTTTGGTCAAAATAAAAGATAAAAACATCTCTGAAATTCTGTCTGTACTATGAAAATTATTTTATTATTCAAACATATTTCCTGTCTTGTTTGTAGATACATTGAAAATACCAAATATTGTTAGTGTAGCCTACTCTGGTTCTGACCTGCTTCTGCCTGTGCTGTGAAATAACATCTTATTTCCTAAATGCAGGAAAACCAAACTGCTAATTCAAGTATGTTGTAAATGTCCCACTTTTGAAAGCCTTCTAAATGGAATATAAGTAATTTGATAAAAACGGGGGGTTTTATGTGCAGGAATTACTTGTTTGTGGAAACAAGCATTCTTGTCTTCATTATAGAGAAGCAGATCTGCATATAAGTGCATTTAATGTTAAAATATTCTCCCCCAACGTGCTTCCACATGCTTTTATTTTTTACTCTAACAAACTGACAACTGATTCTCCTTTAAAAACAGAAAAAACTCAATTCCTGGTACGATACACAAAATTGCTTTAAAATTTACTTAGTGAGATACAGGATCATACGTGATTCTGTTTTAGGCTAAGCCCCCCTTCGGGTCAGCGAAGTCACATCCACTGTAACAGCAGCATAACAGTGATTTGCACCCATCCAAAACCACCTTTTTTCATGGCCTTTTTTCGTGTGGTGTAAAGGATCTTACTTTATATAAGAAGTAAGCCTATGCCATGCATACGTTTTTAACATATGGTATCAATAATCTCATTCAAGATATTTAAAGGTTGTATTTGTTAGAACTGAAATATGATGAATGATTACAAGACTGCTACCTCATAGTTTGTGTTTATGACTGAGAATTTGATTTAATATGGTTGCTATATTCCAACACAGAGAAATGTAATTTCAGCTGTGTGTGAATTGTATCATTTCACTGCTATAATTATGCACTGAATATTTGATTACATCTTTTGTTGGTCTCACTTTTGCAATCTAACTGTTGTTTCTTTAAATGCTGTGGACACAGTGAAACTTTTCCTTAAATACTCCATAGAATCCTAAAACGATGTCACATACAGAACACTGAAATCCTCCAAAATGTTTTTTAGAAACTATTTACAACTTTTTTGTGCTTCCCAACTCTGAAAGGTTATGTTTATTCTGTGTATTTGTTTTCTTCTTTTAACAGAAGGAGTTTAACAGTGATTGCAAATTGAAGGAAAGAATAGAAGAAAATGGGTATAACACATATGCATCCTTAAATTGGAAGCACAATGGAAGGCAAATGTTTGTAGCCCTGAATGGAAGGGGAGCCACAAAGAGAGGACAGAAAACAAGAAGGAAAAACACTTCAGCTCACTTTCTTCCAATGGTAGTAATGTCATAGATGAAGGAACTGGTTTATTGATGCAGTTGAACCAAAGCCTCTTATGTCAACAATATTTGGTAATCCTCTTGAAGAGTAAATGCAAAGAAATAGTCCAGACATCTGCTTGTTTGAGAGGAGAGCAAGGGAAGCCTTTGAAGGTTTTGTATTCATTCCTGGCAGATGAAATACTTTCTTTAGTTCAGTGTCATATCTTATAATCAAGATACAAGCTGGATCAAATGGGATGGAAGTTATTGCCAGTGTGAACAATTTTGTTTATCTCTGCAATGGAACTTAAGGGACGTGAGACAATCTGTTGAATGATCTTCATGGGGAAAGTTATTTATGGAATACTAACTCATATCAAAGACCTTAATTGCTCATTCAAGCCTATTGATCCAAGGAACAGTTAGACATGCAAGCATTTACTGGAATCACTTGGGTCATATGCACAAATAACAACATTTCTGGAGAAGCCTTGTGGAAAATGGATAGGATTAAGGAATATAAGCAAAGTAGTGTAAAACTGTTCTAACAAAACGAATAGTATCATTTGCTTGTATGTTCTAACTTCATTTCTTTTTATTTCTAAGTTATTTATTTAATAGGTTGTTAAATATCTTTTTGATTTGAAATGTTTTCCTCATTTGCTTCTTTGTTATTTCCCTTTTTCTCAGTACTTCACACACAGGTTGATAGGTTAAAATATCAAAACCTCAGAAGTACTCTGAGAATATGTATTAGACAAGGCTTTAAAGGTAGAATTTAATGTATATAATCCATTTTTTTCCTAAACTGTCTTGCACTTAAGCAAAAAGACCAAACAAGCAGTGCTTGGATTTATGTTATTGGGTGGCTTTATGTTGGAGGTTTTTTTGTACTTATCAGCACTCAAGAACAAACTTCCAGAAATACTTTGTTCAAAGGGTCTTTCTGCTATTTTGAAATTGAGAGAAGGGGCCACATCTGTGCTTGGGTGTCAACACATCTGTGAGTGCATTCACCTGACTTTGATTTCAGCGTGGAACTAAGACTGAATGCGTTGCAATCAGTGTGATGTTCTGCAGCAACCATTGGGCTGGAACGTAGAGGTGGGCAGCCCTGTTAAAGTCACTGAGACTGCAGGTGTTAAACTGTGTAATTCCCAAGCGTAAAATTCGGCCTCTGAAAGGTAAGTAAGAAGGCAACACAGTCCTGCACTGCTTGTTCAGTTAATACACCCATTCAGCACATTTTTCCTTGTTAATAGCTCGGAGAATCATGGGGATATAATGGGAGTGATACCCAAGTAAGGACTGAGCGACAGGAGATAAATCATGCTCATGTATTTATCAGAGTTTATTACTCACATGTATATTATATATGAGAGCCAACCAAAAAGCTGTGCTGGTATCCAGCTTTAGAATGCCTTTCATATCCATCGTAGTAACTGAAGGCTCAAAATACATAATATCCAGCACATTTTTATGAAGTGTTACCAATCCCGTGGCTTAACTTGAGCAACTGCAGTATAACAAAGTTAAGCATAATATGAAGTCTGTTCAATTAAAGGTACATAAGGTTTGTTTTATGTTTTGCTTTACTCTGTAATTTTAGAGAGCTCTGGATACCTCACCAATGTAACCATATTGAGGTTCATTTTGTTAGAGCAGATAAATAGAAAACAGTACATCAAACAATTTGTACCACTGTGTTCACATTGTATTCCACTAAATAAATAAGCCTTTGCAGTGTCTTTAGTAAGAAACAAAAGTAGTATATTATTTTGTTCTAAATACTTTAAGTGATAACTATGAGATTATATTGATGCTGCAGTTTTATCTTCAATATTTCTTGCTGTGAAAAAGTTGATTTTATTTTTATTGTTGGAAACTGTATTTTGGTGCAAAGGGGAGCCTTGATTAATGTGTCTTTTTGAGAATGTCTAACCTCTATAAAGGCTGGTGTTGTTGGAATCTTCTGTAACTTATTTAAGTCAATGTTTAACCAGCACTTCAATCTTAATCTGTTATGTAAATATTAGCTGTTTCTAAAAAAAGCAAAAAAAATCATAGCTTTCCCATAAAATACAAAATGGTCAGATTGTATTTCCTGTCCTTAAATAAAGTCAACTATTTTAAAACCAGGAATTTATTGAGAGACAACATTTTGGCTGCTAGCTGACATTGTATTTCATGGTACTTTATCTCCACCTTTCTTCCTCAGAAATAAGATTTTCTATAAAAGAAAATAAGAATTTCAGATTTAAAATGTAATTGCAAGTCACAGCAAAACTTAATTACCATGATAAAAGTGAGTTTCTTTTGATTAGATTTGTAATCGATTATTAAAACTGACAAGACATAATGGACCACCCACGCTGAACATTCAGCGTGAGCTTCAGTGAATGCAGTATTGGATGACCACTTAAAGAACATTTAGGATACAAATGAAATTCTCTTCCGACAGAATTACCTAGATGACTTGGTCAAGGGAGAGATTATGCACAAATATTATCATAGTACTCAAAACACCGTGCTGCTCAGAGGCCAATTACAGGAAATATCACTTTTCCAAAGTGACTCAGAAGCCATTTGTGACATGAATAGTGGTTTCTTAAAATTAAGCAAAATAAAAAAAAGAAAACCTTGAAGGAATCAATGATTGCTGTGTGTTTGCTGTACTGTAATACCCACCGTGGTGGGAGTAAACTGCAGACACTCTATCTAGAGTATCACAGATTCTCAAACATAAGCTCTGTTTTCTATCATCCTCAGCATAACGAACTTCTGAGCAAAAAGAAAACAGGGAGGGGATTTATAAAGGAAAAAGGAAACAAAAATCACTGAGCAACAATGTGTAGTATGTTATATTTAAATAAAAATAATAAAGTTCAGGTAATATAGAATAAGAGTATTGTCCTTGTTTGTTTTATTAACCTGTAATGATACTGCACAATAGTAATAAAAAGGGAAAAGATCCATTGTACCACAGGATGTGGTTTGGTGCTGTGTAGCTCCAAAACAAAACAAAAATCATTTGAACTTGTGTAATTTTTTGCATGTGTAAGTCAGCTATCTCCACACTAATAACAACCAAATGCTTTAGATTCTTCCTGTAAGTATTCAAATCCACCTAGTTTATACAGTGGAAAAAACAAGGAATTTAAAGCAAGCACATTGGGTGAAAGAATGAGAGAGTTTAGGAAGAAGAACATGTACTCACATTTTTAAAGTAAACTTCAGATACGGAAAGCTGGTTACCTTTTGTATAAGACTTCATTCAAGCCCTTTCGGGTTATGAAGTCCACTGAAGGTTAGTAAGCTTTAGTAATACAAGAATACGGGTTGTGACCACAACTTTGTAACTCATGCCCCTGCTGAAACTGATCGTCTCTTTTCACACTGCTTCAAAGAGTGATCTTGAAACTAATGCATGAAGACAGCCCCTGTTCTGAAGTATCAAGTATCAGTATTTACCCCATTAGGTTAGGTTGTGGGGCAGAATTCATCCTTCTAGTCTCCTATTAAATTGGAGGAAGAAAAAACAACACGTAACAAACATGTTCTGCTGCAGCTAGTCAATGAGTGATTACTGATGGTGTTTTTCAGAAAAAGTTAATTGATACGATTTCAGTGCAACTGCAAATAACAAACACATGCAAAAAAAGGTTGTTTCTCATCCCATTATAAGCAAGAAATAGAATATGAATAATTAACTGGATTTGTGCCTATCAGGTTATGACTTAAAGTTATGCTGACCTGCTCAAATATTTGAACATCATATTTAACTACACAGAAGCTTTCTTGGAATAAGTTTTGGGATTTTCTAATGAAGCGCGGTCAGACTCAGATACCTGACATGTATCTTCTCACTCACTAATCCCAGAAAAAAATGTACTGTGTCCTTTGCCCACCCCAACAATGCAAAGAAAATGTTCTCCTGTGAAAAGCAAAATAAAGGACTAAGCCTCTGAGTTACTGCAGTATAAATAAGAAGAATTTGCAATCCTGAAATTCCTCACCAGGACCTTTAGTGATGCCACTGTATACTATTTTATTGATGTAAAAGAGTAATTCATGCAATTGAATAAATTCATATGCTGGTGGTGATATCAGAAATACATGTCTTGTCAGACCATGGTAAAAATACAACACTATAAAAATCGCAATATCTGTAAAAAACACAGGAAGTACCCCACTGTGTAGTTCTGTACAAAATATTTGCAGCTCTGATAGTATGTTGGTAATGTAACACAGTGGAAAAAACAGAGTCTGTATTTCCATCAAAGCACAGACTCTATCTTGCCATAATGTAGTAAATGAATAATCAATACATTGCAGGTTCTTCATTAATACTGAACTGTCTCTTGTGTAGCCATTCATCCAAGCTCCAGATGTACTATTTCACCATCCAGACTATGCTATGGCTTGGTTTTAAAGTATGTTATATGATTTTTTTTTTATTATGAAACTGTTTTACTAATTGTTCAATGAACTTTTAACCCTTCAATTTGCTAACAGTCTTCACAAAAGTCTGGGAAAAGGCTAAACACTGGTCTATGAATATTCACTTTTTTCTAGCTCAAATAGCTGAAAAAACCACTACATTCAGTGTTTATGCAGAAACCTGCCTTATTTAGTGAGATGTATGAGTGGGATGAAAAATTAATCTCTTATCCATTAGTTTCATGATGCCCAGATAATTTGTTACTTTCTTACATTAGAAATACTCATGAAGACTCACTATCCCATCTTTTAAAATATATATCACAAAATTGTATGTGCACTTCAGCTTTTTCTTTTATATTTTTTTTTTTTTTAAACAAGTTGAGACAGAGTGAAGAAAAGGAACTGCCTTACCAGGACCCTGTACATACAGTTTTACATTCTTTCCAAATTGTACTGAAAAAATCCATTCAGGAGAATCAAAATTTTTTGAGCTTGGTCTTCTAATATCCATATTGGTAGGCTTCAGATATAAATACATGAATAAACTATTTTATTTATACTCAGTTGTAGAAA